TTTTTTTTGAGCCAATAATCCAGGTTGCCCAGACCCTGGTTACATGCCGGATGGCAAACACGTGGTGCCAAGCCCAGCACAACCTCCAGTTCCCTCTCGCAGCCGGGTAAGCCAAGGCGTGCGGAGCCAGCAGCTCCCTGGGGGCTGCACAGCCTGCGAGGGGCTGACAAGGGAGAGCAGGCGGCACCGTCCTGCTGCGGGCTGGCGGGACAGGCCCGCGCCACCTCCAACCTCAGCCACGCTGCGGACGCAGGGCAGAATGCGGCCGCTGGTGCATGGGGACACAGCCTGGCCGCCCGCGGCCCCAGCTGTTCCCCTGGGCTTCCTCCCGGGCAGGGGGTTTAGTGCAGAGGTGGCCGATCGGGGCTGCCCAGAGGGTAGGACAGGCCCGAGGAGGACGCTGTCCACGCCAGCGCAGCTTCTGAAGCTGGACTGAGTTTATTCAAGTTGCAAATGTAAAACAGAATAAAAAAAAAAATCACAATCTTCACTGGCTTACAAGCAGAAAGCCCAAAAGTAAATCAACTCCCAGGCTTTGCCGCCCTCTTCACCCTCCCCAGCACTAGTGTTAAGGCTGCATTTGTTACTGACAACACAGGAAAGAAACAGAAGATCCAGCCCCGGTCCTGCTCCCGGCGCCTTCTCCTCCTCCCATGGGAAGTTTTGGCACGAACGTGGAACGGGGGCCAGCCCGGGGCACCGGGAGGGCTCTGGCCCCTCCGACCACAGTGCAAGTGTTAGAGGTCAGCGTAAGGCTCCATAAGCTACTGGCAGCGCCCGGCACGGCGCTCCGCCGGCACAGCACGTGGGAAGGGGGCGGCAGGAACGTGCAGAAGGAGCAGCGGGGGCAGGAGGGGGCCCGGGGTGCCCCGGGGCCCGAGTGTGAGATGCAGCGGTGCCTCCTGCCCGTGTCTGTGGTGCAAGTGTAAACATGAGGCGCTGCGGGGGCCCAGCCAGCACCACCAACCCACCCCTCGGGAAGGGAAAGCAGGGAGGGCCCCGGGCAGGTTTGGGCAGGGTCTGGTCAACAGCCCAAGGGGCCGAGACGCTCCAGGCTGCGGCAGAGCAGGGCCTGGTGGGGAGAGCCCAGGCCCTGTGGGCAGCTGCGCCCCAAGGTGCTGGGGAAGGAGCCCCTGCCCGGGGCTG